AGCGGTCAAGCTTCAGAGAATACAGCAAAATTTTCTATTGATCAGACATTTCTTGGAATCAGTCGAAAGCGAAAAGGCGAGTGATATGGTACCGTTTTAATGAGCCAGCTCTGAAAACGCTGAAAATGGCTTGGAAATCCATTGTTTTGGCCCTGGTGCTGTTGTCATCGTGTTCAACAGGTAACATCCGACACAGGATGAAATGGCGCATTTAAATGACTTGAAGAGAACCTTAAAGTTATTTAAATCTGTATATGAGCTTTAATGCTAAACTTAAATCTCCTTAAAGACTAATATAAGAAAAGGTTAGCTTTAAGTGACATTTAGTTAGTCTTTACAGAAAAGTGATATAAGTGAATTTAATATGCAGCTTAAAGCTATCTTAAATGCACAAAGAGATTTAAGAGCGTTTAAATGCACGATTAAAGTATTTCTAAAGATCTCTACACATTACTTTAACTTTAAGGGTACGCAGTAAAGCCTATCTTATCTGTCACTAAGATCCTCTACTCTAGGTACTCGGGATACGCATCCGTGAGATATGTTTGAACTTCTGTATTCTGTGGCTACGACATCCAACGATTCAATTTTTTAAAATATTAATGATAATAATAATATTCTTTAAATTATTATCAAAAAAAATGTTTTTAGTATAGCTTACAATTTATAGTTTTGAGAATTCTTATAGTTATTCAACTCTTTTTGCCAATGGTCAAGTTAAATCTTTATTCTACATAGTTATACTCTATGCACAGTTTGTTATTATTTTTGAAACATTTAGCAAATTTTGAAATTTTCATTGATGAATTCAGTTGCTCTAATAAAGACCCTGGCTAATAAACTGAAACCATTTGGCGGGATTGATATTTTTTGAGTAGGAGCTAGTGTTTTATGGGGTATAAAACCATTTTTAAAAAGTTCTGCGAATTCCCAGCCCTCCGACAATAAAAACGTAGAGTTCAATATGAACGTTATATTAAAATATAATACATAGTTCTTTTGAATTAAGACTTTCCGGGTGACAGGTCACATGCAGAATATACACGTCAAAGATTTGAATTATCATACATCTATGCTTGTCTTATGAACCTTTCTCAACTAGTCCACAAACAACGAATAATTACTGGCCGCGGTAAAAAGTTGAAAATAAACGTCTATAAAATTGTTTATTTTATCTTTTCACGTTTAAGATACTTTAAAAGTTTTGTTCAAATAATATCTCAGGCCTCGTCCACACTATGCCGAATAATTTTGAATCCGAAATTTTATTTATTCGGTTAGGCCTACCGTCCACAATAGTCCGGGTGAATCCGGAACCATTTTTCACTGAAAACGATTTTTTTCGAATACGGTCTCCAGAGTGGAACAATTTGAACACGCCGGCTAGCCGTATTAGTGTAGACGGAGAACATTTCGTATCCGAAATTTTTCGAATACGATGACGTCATGATTGTCATGGGAACATGGCGGGAAGGCTAAAAATTCACCGCGGTCTCAATTTCAGCTTCGATGCACATGCTCAGATGTGCAATGAAGCGTTTTTGCCGCCTCTGATCGGACAAGTGTGGACGCGAAACATTTTATCCGTTTTCATGTGTGGACGGAAAACTTTTTTTTCGGTTTCGGTGTGAAAGTTGCGGATTCAAATTTATCCGGCATAGTGTGGACGGTGCCTCAGTATTTTCAAAAAAAACTCAAGTAAAACAATCATTAATGCAAGAAAATCAATGAAAGCAAAGTCCTTCGTATGAACGTTTTGTTTAATGAAAGTCGAAGATATCGAAAAGCACATTCAGTTTATTCGGACATAGTTGATATTATTATTTTAAATCAATCTATTGACTACAACTATTATATAGAAATGTATAAAGCGTCAAAAGTCCCCTTCACAGTTCCTTGCGCCATCTTGAAAGCTAGCCGTGCCTTTACATCGAAGCGAGACGAATGGCGAGCTTGCAATGACTGAAACGTGAATAATTGTTCAAGGTGTTAAAAATAGGTCTGGCGCCAGGAACTGTGAAAGGGGCTATAGAGCATGTGCATGTTAGGTCATTGCCGCCATCTTGGTTGACGATAACAAAGCATTCCTTATTAACTTCTCTTGTTAGATCAACCAACATGGTGGTTGTTTCATTGTTATTCATATCTCAAGGGATTTTGAGTCACATGGTTGCACACACTCTATTAGAATGTCTTGCTTTGAGTACCTGAGGTCATTGATCATGAAGTGATCATTTAACATTTGAATATTATGTATTAACAGTTTTCGACCAAGTAAGCACTTTGAGTCAAAGAATCTATAGAAATAAATAATAATGCTTACTGCAAAATAAAGTGAGATCTGATAGGGTCACTGGATTTGGAAGGCACGTTTTCTAACACATATTATCATTCGAACGCTGACTCAAGGTTACATGAGTTAGTGACGAACTTAAAAAAAAGCTGTCTTGTTTATGATTAAGAGTTAATTTATTAAGCTACATTTTTGTTTCACTTTGCTTCAAAAACTTTTGGAAATTATTATTTTTTGCATTGCATTAAATGCAACATATGTCCTTTTCTTCAGCAATTACAAGCACAACTACTATGATCACACCATCATCCACCACTATTGTAAACTCGGTAGACTCCACATCTACTCCAAT